AGACCTCAGGTGATAAAGGACAGCAAAGGGAGCAGAGCACCAGGGCCACCTTTCTAGCGCATTCTTTACTTCTGCATTTTCAGTTCTCCAGAGCAGCACGCTTAGCAGAAACAAACCTCCCTTGCAGACTGAAAGTTCTGGCCTTCAAAGATGCAACCAGAAGTCACCAGGAAAGCTTCTGGGAAAGTTCTTTAGAGGTGGGGGAGGGTACTGGCAAACAGCCTGTCCTCCTTCCCTTCCTGCTGAGAACATCTCCATGATGCTGGAGGCTAAGCAGCTGACTAGCTAAGGATGGTTGAGCAGGACAACAGAGGAGCTCGGGTCCCTAGGAGCACCTCAGACCCCGGGACAGCCTTGAAGGTCAGCTAGCTGCACCTTTCCTCTGCACCTCGGAAGTGCTCTGTTCCACACAGATGGACATGAGCCTAACTCATAAGCCCAGTTCAACTACAGCATTTCCGTGCTGACCCATTTTATATATTGAAGTTCTGGGGAAGGCTCTGTTTCAAAAAAATGTAACTGCCTTAAAATAAAAATCACTAAACACTGGAATAGTGATGAAGCACTGTCTGAGAAGGGTCTACAGCGCTGCGTTCCTGCTGGCTAGAGGGTGGTCAACACAGCCTCCTGGCACCCTCACCCCTTAGTGCTGTTCAGTGACTTTCACCCCCTCTCGAATTATCCGTGTCATCTGAGCCAGCCTCTCTGCCTTGCTTAAAGCCAACATCCCAGCTTGTGCCCTCTCCCCATTTTTATTGATGTGTTTATCTTTTTCTTAAGGACCTAAAAGATCTCTGTATGTAAGGATATAAACTGTCATANGGAACAGCTATCAGTTGGATTTTGTGTGTGGTGATGGGACTTGCTAGGAGGATTGATCACATTTAAAGCAACGACCTTCATCAACCATTTTTGTAAGTCAACCACAAGGCACAGCATGGATTTTGGAGGGCAAACTCAAAAGACTCATCCACCAGGGTAGCAGAGCCTGTCAGTGCTCTAATGAGTAGGGTGAGAAAGAAACATGGAAAGTCCGGGGCTGCAGTCAGGAAGAAAGGCACAGAGGGAATAAAGAGCTTCCATAGTAACTACCCACCCACCTCACCACCCAGCACTCACAAATGATGTTTCAAACAATGGACAAAATATTTCAAAGAATGGACAAAATGAAAGTTATTTCAAAAATGGCAGAAATATTCAAGGCCAGTCTGGAAACAGAACACTAACCCATGAGCCACTTCATCGCAATCCCAGCATCCCATCCCCCCCAACACCCCTTCACTCCCCCACCATCAAAGCAAGAGCCTGATTTACAGAAGGCTGCAGGAAAGCTACCACAGTCAATCCCAATCGGAAGTCAGGAAACCCAATTTCAAAACTGTTAAGCTCACCGAGGGACAGAGTAGTAACCACAGTGCTGGTCAAAGACATTTAGCAAATTCTTCCCGACTGAATGCAGACAGAGATCAACAGGAAGGAGACAGCACCTGCGGCAGTGGCACAACTGTGCACACTGACAGATGTGAGGGCTCCAGGCTGTCACCACCGACCTGGGTTTGTGGCTCTGGACAAGTCAACATAGCCTGATGCTAAGTGCTCAATCAACAGCGGTACTACAGCTATAATTGATATTGTCATTACGTCCTCTTTACATAAGCTGCCATCAAAGAGGCACTGAATAACACGCAGGGACGGGCTCTCTCTATACATATAAGTGATTTATTTAGAAGGAAAACATGCGCAGAAGAACTCACCCACAGGGACCCTAGCGAGGGCAAACAGGAACACGTTGGTAGACGCTCCAAGAATGAGATAACCCAGGGCACTGAACAGAATACACACCAGCAAGGAAGTCCGTCTTCCAGTCATATCGCTCCAGCAGCCCTGAGAAAGCAAGAAACACAGAAAGTCCTGTGACTCAGTAAAATCACCACCACGGAAATGCCTCCCGAATGTGACCCAGTGGAAATCGTCAGGGAGTTTGGGC